CGTTGCACAAAGCTAATTTTTTCAAAATGAGAAATTCTAAGTAGGCAATTGCTTAGGGTGGATAGCTGATCAAGGAAAAGATCTTTCCTGGTATGTAAAGTCATCATATAAGACGATGGTGATGTCCTTTTCGGACCTGTCATTTCGTGTCCTGTGGTTCATTGAACAGTACCCTGGCTTTTAGCTTGTCCAAGTCATAACAATTGTTCGTTGGTCTATCCAGAATTAGACCTTTGCACCTTGCAACAAGTGTCATGGTTCAATGTATCTTGCATTGTAATTTCAACTTCCAATCTAGTTATTAAATCTATTCGCCCTTTGCATATGATTTGGAAAGGCTAGTCCATCTTCCTATTCCATGAGGATGGACCGTATGACAGGGAATTGGAAGGAAGATTTACTCCTCAAGACTGTCTCAGAGATTATGCTCGTTCTGGACTCCATCATACAGTGAGCTCTTGCCTTATTTACAAATACAGCTAATTTTGCAGGGTCCAATACTGTTTACTTTGGAGGCCTTCCTTTTTATCCTTGTGTACAAGATTCTGACCCTAACCAAGTTTTATGGGGTGAATTTTAAATCCAAATGTCTATAAATTAAACTAGTTCAAGCTGTATCAAGCCTAGAATAAAAAAATTGAGCTCAAGCAATTCTGAAATGTGAGTTAAGATTTTGTCAAATGTAGAAGAAAATGTAGTGGTTATGCTTGTATCGCGAAGAAATTGAACCCCATCTTTTGTATTCTGTAGTTCTGTTATGTTTTTCACTCAACGTGGCAATTAGAAAATAGCACCCTGGTGATGTTCCTGATAAAACTTTTCTGCAGTTAACTCTGTCAGGCCTGCTTAACTTCATTGATGGATTATGGTCTAGCTGTGGAGATGAGAGAATTATCATATTCACCACTAATCACAAGGACAGGTTAGATCCTGCGCTGTTGCGGCCTGGGCGCATGGACATGCACATTCACATGTCCTACTGCAAACCACAAGGTTTCAAGCTCTTGGCCTCAAATTACCTGGGAATTCGTGACCACCACCACCTTTTCGGTGAGATTGAAGGCTTGCTAAAGAACACAGAGGTAACTCCCGCACAAGTAGCTGAAGAGTTGATGAAAAGTGAAGATGCTGATATTGCACTCGGAGGACTCGTCAAGCTCCTCAAGAGGAAGAAGCTGGAAGGCAATGAACCAATGGACAAAGATGCAAACAAGTTCGGGGTTCGAGAAGCAAAAAGACAGAAAGTTGAGAACAAGCGTAGGTCTCCTAGGATCGCTAGAAGAAAGTGCAGCAGGCGAAGAAATTTATAATCACTAGCAAGTAGTCTAATTTTTCATGAAAACTAATTGCCTGACTTACTGCATCACTCTGGGTAGTAGTGTTCACTTCTCTTTAGCAGCAGAATTGGGTTGAGATTCAACTGCTTTAAATGCAATGTCACTTCAATCCCCAAGAGATTAACAATGTGTGAAAATCAAGAATCAGACTGTTAATGACCCCCTCGCCCCCCAAAAAAATTCAGTATGAAAACAGTTAGCAGCAGTTTCTTTTGATGTTGTGGATACGTTGGTCAGTCATTTTATCCCTATGGATTTAGAAAAACTGGTACTTGTTATTTATTGCTGCGCACGCCAGCAGAACAGATCAGAATTGAAACTCAAGGGGTCTCCTTTAGCCCTTACAGCTTTATAGCCTTTGCCCCTATTGACATCTTTCTCGTCAAAACCCACAGCCCAAGTCATCACTTTAGTATATAAAATCCCGAACAAATGTGTCATGGCTTGCTAACTTTCGGCGTGGAAGAGAAAAAACCTAGGCCACACTTGCAGAACGTCTTTTTTCAAAGTCATCTTTTATTCTCAAAATACACACGTGGTAATATCTTTATCAAGTATAATTTATTTTAAAAGTATATTTTATATGTATTTTTTTATAATAATTTTAATTTTTTTTTCATATAATACCAGGTGACTTTTTTAAAAACATTTATAAAAGACCATGTCAAAATAGTTAAAACCGTAAAAATTAGAGATAAACTTTACTTTTTATTTTGATTCAGCTTTTAATCATTTTCAGTATTCAACCATACAATAAGATTTACATTTTCTAGATTTTGATATATAATTATTTGTGAAATTGATTCGTTAACGTTTCATAATCCAAACTATATTCAGGGTAATAAGTAATTTTTTTCACATATAATTTGTAAATCTAAATAAATTGAAAGGGAGAAAATATCATTATAAAAGTAGAATCATCCACTGTTCAAGCAGTATTCTTGCATGGTGTGGTTTCTAATTTCTTGAGAGACTTGCACTCAATTTTTTCCTGTTCTCTGGATTCTTGAATCTCATTTCTTTTTGAGGCTTCTTGCTCAAGTTCATGGTCTTCAATTTTCTTCTGCTTGAGGAAAGTAAAGAATGCTTCGAGTGCGGTATCAGCATCCTCATTCTTCATTAGCTCTTCAGCAACTTGTGCAGGAGTCACCTTGGTTGCCTCCAGCAGCTCGTCGACATCCCTGAATAGCCGGTGCTCGCCTTTGGTACCTAAGCAGTTTGAGGCCAAAGTCCTGAAAGCCTGAGTGGTGCAGTAGGACATGTTAATGTGCATGTCCATTCTTCCAGGGCGCAACAAAGCTGGGTCGAGCCTCCGCTTGTGGTTGGTGGTCAGCACGATGATCTCTTCGTCTCCACAACTTGACCACAAGCCGTCTATGAAGTTCAATAGTCCAGACAGCGTCAACTGCACTGATTCAGGTTTATCAGATACATTAACATGAAATCAACAGAGAAAAAAGACGCATTCAATTAGTAAAAATTTAGATTTTAGCACGAACCTACTTTTCCTGACCGCTACGCCTATGTGCGCTGGCATTAGCCCCTGGACGATCAGGCAGACTGACAGGACAATCAATATCTTCAATCACAAGGATTGATTTATTTGCAATAGCCAGCAACAGTTTTCTCAGTTCTGAATCAGATTTTATAGTTTCAAGCTGCAAATCATAGATATCAAACTTCAGGTAATTAGCCATGGCTGCAATTAAGCCTGATTTGCCAGTACCTGGAGGTCCATTCAACAAGTATCCCTGCTTCCATGATATCCCGACTCTCTTGTAGAACTCCTTCCTCCTAAGAAACCTATTCAGATCTTCCACAATCATGTTTTTCAGCTCTGCGTCAAGGGTTAAAGTGTCAAAGGTAGCAGGGTGTTCAATTTTGATGGATTCTCACAATTTGCAATAGTAGTAGCGATGAGTTCCTAAGGCATATATCTTTAAAACCCATGCTTCACTTTCAATCATCTCAGCACTTTTTAACACAAAAGGCAAGTAAGAATTCAAGACTATGTCCCTATATTTCTTCTTGAAACGTAACTCGAAATACCCATTTTCAACTGCTTGGGAATCATTACGATTACCTTTCATTTCGACTTCATGACAAACATGCCTCCATTTAAGCTCAACTCCTTGGAAGGAATCTGTGATACTCTGCCCCTTGATAAGCCTGAATGTCAACTCCTTGTCTTTTGAACGTTTGCTCACTTTGAGTCTTTTGGTGTCAGGGCTAATCTTGGTGCTCAAGTAAGCTTCTGAAGCATTGAAAACTTGGTTGGGTTCGATCCCATCAGTTTGTTCAATAACCACAGTTTGTTTACCAGTGCAAAACCTGGACAAGAAACTCAGAGCAGAAACGATTTGCCTCCGGAGACGTTCGGGTATGAGATCATTGAATATTGATCAGAAGATCATCAGTGAAGTACTAATTGAGGCGTAGGTAGTGAAAGCTGATGCTGCCGATGGGAACATGGTTGAAAGAGATTTCGGGAATTTGTTCATTATAGATTCAGAGGAGAGGTTATTGGACTTGGAGGCGCGCATGGTGGCAAAGTTTTTCCCTAGAGTTTCTGAAATGTAGATCAGTGCCTTTATCATCAACAACGAAGCGTTATCATGACCGGCACATAGGGATATTTGAAATACTTGTTATTTGAAATAAGGATTATCAGACTATGTTAATCCAGATGACAGCTTTACTTCTCTGCATATATAACAGTCTGAGATCCATTCAAATCTAATACAGGTTTAAAATTTAATTCAATCTCGATTTGTAAATAGCCTTCATATACATATCACCTTGGAATGATGATTTTATGCTTCAAATATTATCCCAAAATTTCGTGATCTGATCACGTTGAATGCATGCCAGACATTGCCAATGAGATTCACCATCCATAGACCCAACAAATCAAGTGTAAACATTTATATGATAAACTTTACTCTTAGTCTAATACACCTAAGAATGATTGATTGATTATATAACATCCATTATCCCCAAAAGGAAAAGGATTATGTAACATCAATGCAGGAAAAATTAATATGGAACAAGAAATAGCCAAACCAACCTCTTGAAAAAGAGAGAGCCAACCGTATCAAACACAAGAGAAGTAATCAAATTAACTAGAAACTTCATACGAGCAGCTTAGTAATTTTTTCTTTAAATGAATCAAAAACTTGTATTAAGAAAACAACAATAATAAAGTAGTTAGTAAATGACAAGTGAAAGTAACCACAGGGGATAGAACAAAGAGAAGGCAACTAAGATTTTTTTAAAAAAATGAAAGAAAAAGGCAACCATTTCAATAAGTTCTGATTATACTCTGCCTCCATTGCCATGGCAAAGCCGCATACCTTGCCCCAAGATTATATTCCACAGATAAGAAGCCTGCTTTTTGCAATCATCTCTGAATCTTTCCAAGCTCTGACTCTTACCACCAAATGAGTGGTTGTAACTAGGATATTGATTCTTCCTAAAGGTCTTGCCATCCCAGTAATTTGTGAGTTGCTATCAGATGATGGTCATCTATGCCCTGCTCTAATAATAACAAATCAAGATTGCCTGGTGGCTTTTATCTATTAATGGTGGTCAAGATCCACATTTAAATGCCTCTCCCAATCTAATTTTGTCCAAATGGATTGAAAAAATTGAATATTGAGAATCAAAGACAAAAAGAAAACACTTTTATTCTTAAGGATACTGTATAAAAGCATCAGTTAAAAGGTATGAACTAATTTAACTTGTGAATCTTTTAATACTTGTAAGAAGGGCTTGAGATTGGAATTTTACTTTAACAAAGAAATGAGATGGGGATAAGCATTGAGTGGAAAGGGAAGGAGCACCATCTATCTCAAATACTAGCATGGTATGTACTACGCCCTTTATTATATAATGGGGTTCAATTTTCTGGTTTCCTTTTCAGCATCATTTTCCTTTTGTTCCACTCTTTCAGCGGCTGTGCTTTGCGCTTCTTTATTTGTTAGCGATTCTGCTTGACTCTTAATGGCCTTTGCTTCCTCATTTTCTATCTTTTTCACCTTGAGGAATCCAATGAGGTCTCGGAGCACAGTTTCAAGATCGTCACTCCGAAGCAGCTGCTCTGCCACTTCAGCCGGAGTCACTTCCGTTGTTCTAATTGCCTCCTCGATCTCTCCAAACAATGCATGGTCTTTAATTCCAAGGTAATTTGATGAAAGAATTCTAAATGCAGAGGGGGTGCAATAGGACATATGAATGTGCACATCCATGCGCCCTGGACGCAGCAGTGCTGGGTCCAATTTATCTTTGTGGTTGGTAGTGAACACAATAATTCTCTCATCTCCACAGCTTGACCACAACCCATCAATGAAATTGAGCAATCCTGACAGCGTGACCTGTTTCAGTAGAAAAAATTATATGGTGGAAACACGTTTCATATCAACAGAAATAGTCTGGAAACTGATTTGATGAACTGAAACTTGCTTTATCTGGACCCTCTCATCAAAATCTATATAATTGACAACCACTTTCAATGATGTTGCTATAAACATGGACAAGTTGAACCCGTGGTGACAATCTGTTTCATGTGAAGTGTTTTGTCGTCTTTACCAAATGACAAATACCAACAACCTAAGTAGGGAGGCATGGCCTTTCAAGGAATCTAAGTTCCAAAACAAAGAAACGCCAGGAATGAGGATGCGGATTCTAGGCGACCCAGCAGAACGTTCCTAGGAAAGTACTTCTTTTCAAAACTTAAAGCATGTGCATAACTGGTGATTTGCCAGTTCGATTAAAGCCTTAAAAAATTGTTTCGCGTGCATTGAAAACTTCCTTCTGGGCTTTAACAGGCTCCTCCTTTTCTCGTGCCATGTTTTACTAATTTATACTAGTGCTATTTTGGCTCCTAATGTTTAGCTATATTTTACTGTTTTATAATCTAATCATGGAAGTATTAGAAGGTAGCATTGTGCAACAGATAATAAATAAAACTAAGCCATAAACTTCCATCAATTAAAACCCACTGCCCTGATTAATATATGAAACAGAGCATTGTCACTTGTCTGACAGGATAAGAATTATGGGGAGCTAAATTGAATCAATGCCAATGGAAAAGTATTCTTCAAATTTCTGGTTGTTCTGGACTAGAAGTATAACAACCAACCAACAATTAGATCAAAATTAAAAACTAGAAACAGAAAACATATAATAAAAAAGGGGGAAATCGGAGAACTAACCTGCTTCTGAGGAGGATAATCCTGAAAACGTGAAGCACGAGCCACGGCCATCCGGTCTTGTAACTCAATGGTGCAATCTATGTCCTCTACCACCAATATGGACCGATTTGCAGTAGCCACGAGCAATTTCCTGAGTTCCGAGTTGCACCGTATATCGGTCAATTCCAAGTCATAAACATCAAAATTCAAGTAATTAGCCATTGCAGCAACCAGGCTCGATTTGCCCGTCCCTGGTGGACCGTACAACAAGTACCCTCTCTTCCAAGCTTTCCCTACTTTCCTGTAATGATCTTTCCTCTTCAGGAACCTCTGAAGATCTTGCAAGATTGTGTCCTTGAGCTTTGTGTCCAAAGCCAACGTTTCGAAAGTTGCAGGGTGATCAAGATTCACTGATCTCCAAGAATCCCCCAAGTTGCCATACATGCTTTCAGAGTCAACGGTAAAGAGTTTTATCGTCTTCCGTTCTTGTTTCAGGGACTTCGCTTCCTTCACAATGTGGGGCAAGTAAGAGTTGAGTACCATTTCTTTGTGTTTTTTGGAGAAGCTGAGCTCGAAAGAACGAACTTCTGATCTTAACGTGGAGTTGATATCTCGAGGGTTGTGAAAATGTCTCGTTGATTCTACTTGTTTGCAGACCAAAACCCAGTTGAATTTGATACCATTGTAGATGTCAACCACTTCTTCATTACGTTCCATGGTGACAATGAACTCCTTTTCTTTCTCAGGCTTGCTCACTTTGAATCTTTGTGAAGAGGGGGATATTTTGCTGCCTAAGTAGATCTCTGCAGCCTCGTAGACTTGGTTGTAAACAAGGCCATTGAATTCGTCGACGACCATGGTGGCAGTTGACGAGAAACGGTTGCAGATCTTTCGAATGCCGAAGAAGACATAATCTTTGATATCATATGGCAAGAATTCTTGTGCTATTGACCGAACCAACATCACCGTGGCAGCAAAAGATGCAGCAGCAGATACGATTGTCCTGGCGTTGGCAAGTTTGGATTCACCAGAAGAGGTCTCCATGTTTCCTGCTGTTAAATTTCAGGCTTTTGTGGTCTCAAAGAAAGCCTCTTTGGGAATTTTCTTGTGTTCGATCTCTGAATTGAGTGTATGTACTGGTTTGGGGAATGGATTTGACCGGAAGGAAACAAGGAATTGGAATAGGGGATGGTAGAGAAGGATTGGAAGGAGCGTTGAATTCAGCACAAGGTTACGGATTTAAGGAACCATCACGGGCTCTTTCCTGGATTGAGAGACACAGTTTGACGATTTCGGGCCTCCAAAATTTACACCGATGTGATTCACTTGGAATTGACCAGAAGTACAGGCCCTCACGGTTTCAGTTCATAGTGATGTTAATGCCATATACAGTTGATTTACAACCCATCGTTATAATGCAATCTATCTCTCTCTCTTTTTTTTTTTTTGATAAAAATAATGAAATCAATCTTTAGCATTATTAAACTTGATATTTGAAAAAAAAAATATTAAAAATTTTTAAATAAATTTTTATTTTTTATTATATTTAATCAAATTTTTATATTTTT